AATTCTCCTGCCTCAAATTTTTAGTGACAGAATATTAAGTGGATACCACAAAATCAACCATTTGTTTTCTTTTAAATTATCTAATAAATAAAACAAGTTGCATTCCTCTACATTCTTAGCACCAGTGGTCTGCGGGCTGGGACCTGGTTGGAACATGACAAGACACAAGAAAGAGTCAAATCATTCATGAATGCCAGGCCAGCTAGGTGCCTCCCTTGGAAAATGCAGAAAGAAATCAGTGAATTCAGTCAACATAGTAAGTGCATATGTTCTCTGCGTGGTAAAGTCAGGATGAAAAAGACAGGCTGTGACTCCTTCAGGACAACAGAAGTCAGTGGTGCCTGAACCTCTTTACTGTTGTGGTTAAGGGTTCATGAGAAGATTGATACAAAAGACAAGTAGAATCCTGTGTAAGAACTAAAACACACCTAATAAAGCACTGCACACACCTTATTCACCTTCGCAAATTATGGTCACAAATTTAATACTCTGAATTTGACAAGTCAAAACCAAAAGTTTAAAAGAAAAAAATAGAAGGAAAAATTCTCTCTTAGGTATTTTCCATAGTTTTCTTTCTTTCCATTTTCCTCTCCTGTGCTAAAGATCAAACCTAGGGCCTTCTATATGTTAGACAAATGCTCTGTCTATAAACTACGTATACAACCCCACTCAAAAATAATGGTGAATATTAACATTAGTATTCTTAACATTACAGTTTCTTATTGAAAATTTCATGCATGTATCCAATACAAAATAGTCATACCCACTCTCCATCTCCCTTCTCCAACTTTCCTGAAATCCCCCAAAGCCCAAGAACACACCAAATCCAAGTAGTGATGGCTGTGTGGCTGTCCACTGGACTATGAGAAATCTATCAAGGGCTGGGGGTCTTTCCTTCCCTGGTAGCTATTCACTGCCAATAGCGCTTCCAGGGATTTTGGCTAGATCGATCTTGTGCACACCATGTGCAGACTGCTGTGAGTTCATGATTGTGTTAATCACGTGAGGTCCAAAAGCGTGCATTTCACAGAACTTCTCTCCTTCATCCGGCTCTTACATTCTTTCCACCTCTTCTTCTGAGGTGTGCCCTGAGTTGTTGTGGTGACAGTGGGGAGTGGCTTCTTGAGAAAGGTGTCTTATTTAGTTAGAACTGAGCCCTCGGCCTCTTTTGCTCAGGAAATGGAGCAGTATGCCTCCCAGCACTGACTCCTACAACTTCAGAAGTTTCTCGGACTAAGGTTGAGAACAGCCTAGGTCTATGGATATGAACGTGGTTATTTAAAAGCAATTTGGCAACTAGATCATTTAGCAAAGTAGCAATAGAAGCTTCTACATTATGACCTATGGCATCCTGGGACAGCCATGGAATTTTGATTAGGATCATAGTACTAGACATGAAATGACCTCCTGTGGAGAAGGGCTCAGATCCAATCAGAGTATGGCTAAATTGCTGTATCACTATTGCCCCTGTGGGCACTTCTTCCCTGATAGGTTGGTTTGCAGCATACAGGGACAGGTTGCAGTTAAGACCATTGATGTCTCTTCTCCCCAGCAGCCTGTAGAGCATCTTCTGACTCTATGAAAGAAAGCCAGTTGTGCTGGTTGATTTGACAACAGGGCACAAGCTAGAGTCATTAGAGAAGACGCAAATCAGCTGAGGAATTACCTCCCTCAGATTGACATGTAGGCAAGTTACTTTCCTGATTCATGATGGATGTGGGAGGGCCCAGTCCATTGTGGGCAGTTCCACCCCTGGGCAAATGATCATGGGTTGAAAAGGGAAGATAGCCGAACATGCCTGTGAGTTGTGTTCCCCGGTGGCTTCTGCTTTAGTACCTGCCTCGAGGTTCCTGTGTTGACTTTCCTCAATAGTACCTGGCTCAAGAGGTATAAGGCAAATGAACCTGTTCTTCCCCAAGATGCTTTTGCTATGATCCTTATAACAGCAGGAGAAAACAAACTAGGAAAACAGTTTCTTGTTCTAACTAATATTAAAAAAAAATGTGATCATCTTTGTGTATCTTCCAAGGTCAGTCTCCTGAGCAAAATAAAAAAGGAAGGTCCTGTTTCAGGCCAGCTAGCAGTATGGGTTTGAAGTTATCTGTTACGATTTCAGACCTCCTTGATTTTATTAGAAGTTTGTGGAACAGGCCAGTATAGAAAAAAAAATTAGGAGAACTTTCAAGAAGATAAAGTCATACTGTGAAGAAGCAGTCTCTCTAAACAGTACTAAAGCTGCACATACCAATCTGCTCTAGTGGCATGCCCCTTTACACTCTGCCCTCCTTTAATGAGTTGAATTCCCTTGCATATGCTTTACGATAATGTCTTTCACAATTTGTCTTATGTCTTTGTTCATGGAATACTGCATGCACACATGCACACGCACTAAGTTGCAAGATTGTTTACTAACCAGAATGCCGCATAATATAAATGTGTAAACAGAATCATATGACTGTGGGGAGCAAATAAAGTCCTGTGTGAATGCATGTTGTTGACTTGAGCAACCCCAATGCCTCTCAACCGTATAAACTGTAAAGCCTTCCTGAAGTCGGGCTTGGGGCAATATCAAGGGCTTCACCTAGGAGTACATTCTGAACAATTGACCTTTAGCTAGAACCAGTGTGTGCAGAAACAACCAGGCACAGCCACCTCCTCCTCTTTCATTTGTATATAATAAACTCACCTCTTCTTTAGCTGTCTACAATAAACCTGCCACCTCAATCAGCAGTGCTAGTGTGTCTCTATCAGAGAACACAGCACATGTAACAACAGCTTTTCGATACGTATGCCAGTCTCTGTCCTTTCTTTGTTTCCTCTGTCAGGTGAATCCTAGAGTCATGCAGGCCATGTCATAGAACATTTTCCTACAAGTAGAATTCTAAAATACCTTCTCTCTCCTTTACTATATCATAGATTACCCCTCCCCCCGCTTTTTGCTGTTTTGGGCTTTGAACCCAAAGTCTGTCTCATGCCAGGCAAAGTCTTATCACTGGACTATATCCATAATCCTACTTTCCTTTTTTGAGTATAGTTAAAATTCATAGTAATCTTTGTGGAATTTTTGTTTGAATATGCTTGCTATAGTTTTTACCTTGAGCATCCCACAAAGCCCATGCGTTGAAGACTTGCCCTGTATGACATCAGGAAGTGGTAAACCACTAAGAGGTGGGTCCCAGTAGAAAGCAGCAGGTCACTAGAGGCTTGTTCAAGAGTGTAATATTGACACTCTGGCTCCTCTTCCTCTCTCTCAGGTCTCCATGAACAGGAAATGAGCAGCTTCCCTGGCCACATGCTTCCCCTGTAATGCACTGCCCCACTGCTGGCCTAAGAGCAACAGGCAAGAAATTTCCACAACCCAGGTAAATAGACCTGTCTTCTTTTCAGATGGATTCCCTCAGGTATGTGGGCACAGTAATAGGAAATAGGATGCTCAAATCCAGTGGTCGGATGGAAAACCCTGTTCTACATCCCTGCTCTCCAGCAGACTGCATCACTGGTGCAAAGAGCCTTCACCTCCTAGCAGGGAAGGTGTCTAGGTAGTTCTTGCCTGATCTAGCTCTTCTCTGGGAGATATCAGCAGGAAGGGTCAGCGTCAGACAATCCCACATGAAATAGGGCATCAAAATGTACTTTGTATTATTTTTCCAGTTTAACTTTAAATTTTATAGGTTTTAAAGTTAAAAAAATACGTTTAATTTTATTTTATTTTTTTATCAATCAGTTCCTCGGAGTTTTCAACATATGGTGTAGATGTAATTTAAATATTTGTATAATAGAGAAAAGTAAGGTGGAAAGTGAGAAAGGTCATTTATAACTTAAGTTATTGACATACTTATAAATTATCATATTTCCTTTAGCAAACTAGTATTAATGCTGCATACAATTTCATAGATAACATGGGTCTTTTTCATGGCATACTGAATGGTAGATAATCTCTACTTTTAGGTTTATTTTAATTTACTTATTTTTATTTATTTATTTTTTTTAGACAGAGTTTCTCTATATAACCCTGGCTGTCCTGCAACTCACTCTGTAGACCTTGGTGTCCTTGAACCCAGAGATGTGCCTGCTAATTCTGCCTAATGAGTGCTGGAACTAAAGGTGTGTGCCACCAATGAGATCTCGATCGTTTTTAAATAAAGCATTTTCTTTAGAAACTATTTAAAGTCAGGGGGAATCCTGTCATTAAAAACAAGTAGAATATGGGTTCCCAATTGTTCACTACTCTTAGAGCCATGGGACCTGGAAAGTTAAATGGTTGTTGGTGCAGAGGGAGACAGTTCTTCAGTGATGTAGCCACTGGTAAGTTGTCCGTGTTCCTGTAAATACCCCTCATCCACACTTATATAAGTAGCCCTAATTAAACCCGTTGATTTACCAAAACAAAACAAACCATATGAAGATAAAGGGAATATTAGTTTGGAAGAGGAATAGGTTCAGCGGGAATGAGAAGAGGACAAGAGAGAAGAACTGGAGGTAGATATGATATATATGAAAATGTTATAATGCAGCACATTTTCATGTATAATTAGTATATGCCTCCCCCTTTTCTTTTTCCATGACTCCATCCAGAGCCATGTGGCTAGTGGCCAGAGCCGCCAAGTTCTTCTGTTTGCTGGGACTGGAACTTGGCTGCTGCTTTCAATTATATTTGCATCAGCTTTCTGTTGTTAATGGTTACCCTCCCTGCTTAAGTTTTCCATTAGTTCTTCTCACAAGCTTTGCTGGGTAAGGTCTTGCCCTGAGGTCACCACTCCCTACATCTTCCTAGCACCAGGCTTCTCTTTAAACTTTCTGTCTCCCTCGTTTTCTCCTCACACTGTACCTTGTGTATTTCTCCTTGCCCCCCTTGCTCCTTATCACTGGAGATCTGTCTATGAGTGACTAATAACCTCCTGACACAGGCAATACTGGGTTCTCTTGAAATCTCCTCTACCAAAGCCACAGATCCAAAGCTCGTCAATGTAGCCTCGATTAAATTTTTACGACAAGGGCAGATGGCTTCTTGGCCTTTTGGCTAAGATCAAGCGTAGTATCTGTTCTTTTCAGTTTAATATCTGATACGTCCTCAATCCCTGGACAATATACTAAATGAATTTTTGAAATTAGGAGTTAGAACAGGAGCTTGCTAGGTCCATTCCACACATCGACCTGGTATTGCAGGACAAGGGCAGAAAGCAACCACATTCTTTCCAAATATACCTGTAATTATTCAGCCACAAAAAAGGCTACACTTCCGGGTTATAGAACCATGCACATTCAGACAAAGCCCTCAGACAAAAGTGCCTGAATGTTAAAGAGCCCCGCAAGACCTATGTTTGCGCATGCATGGTTGCATCCACTATGACTCAGCTAAGCTCTTGCATGCATAAGTGAGTCTGTCATCTGCATCATCTGCATATGACATAGTCACGCCAACCCCCTGTGCGCATGCCCTAGGTAACTTTTCAAAAGCTGGACACACCATCTTTCTCTCTCTGCACACCGATCCCCCAGGCCTGTACATGCCCCCTCTAATAAACTCCTAAGCGGGTTTGTTGCATGTTCTGTGTTCCCTTCTCACTCATGCCTTTCAATAACAGGAATGGTCTCTTACTTATTAGGTCTCTTACTAATTTTCTTTGCCTCTGAAACTTCCTGAGCTGAGTCCCCAAGTTCAAATCTCCCTCAGACTGTCTTCCTTGCTCCTTTTAGGATGGCCCATTAAGCACCCTCGTACGGTGTCCAATTGATTTTCTAACTCAAAGTGCCAAAGTCTTCCATATTACTCCACCAAACACCCTGGTCAGGGATGGCACAGCAGGACCCCAGTTCCTGGTGCCCGCTTCTGTCTCAGTCACTCTTGTAGTGCTGTGAAGAGACACCATGATGGCCGGAAACTATTGTAAAGAAAGTCTTCGTTCTCATTCAAACCCCCATACTGGACCTTGTCTGCCAATCACAAAGTCGCCAACTTTTCCATCATAGTTTGTCCTGAAATGCTTCTTATGCCAGTGTATCCACAGGACTTACTTTGCTAGCGCCCATCCTCTTAGATCTGCTTGTATTTCGCCATTTAGTATTTTGTCCTTTTGGATATATTCATGTTCTACCTTAGCATGGATTCCACTTTCTCCACGGCAGTAGAAATAAGTGGCACATCATCTGCCCACAAACTGTCAGGAGGCAGCACTGAGCACAGCTGCTCCTTCTGTGTGGATGCAGAGGTCTTCCCACTGGACTCCAGATTACCTTTGCCCCATTCAAGCCGTCCAACCAGGCCTGCACGTTGCCTTCAGATATGCTTCCTGGTAACACTCTCTTTCCCTCTGCCCCCTGTCTCCCTCCTAATTGATTTCAGATAAAGAAGATATCCTGTTTATAAGGTCTGAAAGCAATGCATTTGGGGGCCAAGATACCAAATGACTGTCTCCCAGTTCAGCATTCTGTGGTGATATTTTGTTGGTGCTTTAACAAATAAAGCTTGCCTGAAGATCAGAGTGCGGAGCTAGCCATACTAGCTAGCCATAGACGCCAGGCGGTGGTGGCACACACCTTTAATCCCAGCACTGAGACAGAAATAGACGGATCTCTGTGAGTTCAAGACCACCTTGGGCTACACGAGAATGAATCAGTCTGAAAGAGAAGCAGAGCTCACACCTCTGATCCCAGCACTGGGGGCCATGCTCCTTTAATCCTAGCTCTAGGGAGGTGGAGACAGGAGGGATATGGCTGGGCAGAGAGAGGAATATAAGGAGCTCAGTGCAGTCTGAAATTGCATAAAGACCGCATTTAGTCTGAGAGCTTGTCGAGACAGGAAACCCCATTCAGTCTGAGGATTTCATAGAGGTAAGAGCCAGTGGCTGGCTGCTCTGCTTCTCTGATCTCTCGGGTTTTTATTGTTAGAACCAATCAGAATTCATGCTACAGCATTCCCTAACATACTTCCTCTGTATTCGAGGCCAGTATATATCTTCCAGTATATAAATGCAACACTTTTCTTCTTAGGTAAACTATGCTTATTGATTGCAAGTTAATCTCCCCCTCCCACCCCCCACTCCTGTCATGGGGAAGAAGACTGCACCTCACAGGGAAGCTACTCCAGTTACTATTATTGCTAGAGTCCCACACAAGTTCATGACCAAGAACTTGATCTCTAGAGTGGGGGCAATATTAGAAGATACCATAAACTTTTAAAAAGCGAGGGGTGTGCCCACCCACTGTGATGGTGGGGCTGATCTAATGGGAACTCACCAAGGCCAGCTGGACTGGGACTGATAGAGCATGTGATCAAACCGGATTCTCTGAATGGGGCTGACAAGGAGGGCTGACTGAGAAGCCAAGGACAATGGCACTGGGTTTTGATTCTACTGCATGAGAATTTGTGAGAACCTAGTCTGTTTGGATGCTCACCTTCCTAGACCTGGATGGAGGGAGGAGGATCTTGGACTTCCCACAGGGCAGGGAACCCTGACTGCTTTTTTGGACTGGAGATGGAGGGGGAGG